ACAATAAGGAGCTCACCATTCTTCGCTTGCGAAATGTCAGCCGTAAAGAATGTAGAACAGTGGTGTACGGTGTGGGAACAGGCCCTCTTATCAGCATTACTTATAACTGAAATCATCATAATAATAATAATAATAATAAAAGTAATAACAACAACAACAACAACAACAACTTCGAATGCAAATTCTTTATTCACTATAATCACTAAAAATATTTACAAAAAATTATGATAAATTCCTTTAAAAAAATCGACAAATACATTAAAATGTTTAATAAAAATCTAAGAAAAAACTAACGGATACACGCTTCGTTTACGTTTACTTCTTAAACTTTAAAGAAAGAGAAGATAATAAAAAATAAATGTTATATAAAAAGATAAATAAAAAAAACTATTCTCTAAATCCTGCTTGTTCTTTTTGGATCTCAAAGTCACAATGTTCAATGTTCAGAGGGACACGCCTAGTGGTGCGTGAACCTCTTAGGCAAAGTAAGGCTGACCTTAGTAGAGCGAAGGACACTTTTGAACGTATTCATGAAATCGTTGTGCTGTACTCCTCTCCTTTCTTAATAGATATGAGCTCCGCTAATCTACTGTGGGAACGCTTGCATTCGTCCGCCATGCCTCCGATAGTAGTAAAGACTAAAGGTGTAAAAGTCCCTCGTTCAACTTCCAAAACCCTGTTCGCGTACAACCTCTTCTTCTCATCTTCATGTTTGCGATAAATATGCTGAATGGTGAGATCTTTGTAAGACTCTGCGTTTGGGTGAAAAACCCTTACGTCAAAAAAGGCAGAGCCTTGCCAATCCCAGAACCCACGAGCGTGAACATCCAATCGGGCATCTGGTGCTGGGTTCGTACCCCTCGTCAGCACTTCTCCCGTTATCTCCAGGAGAACGGGTTCCACTTGCACATCGTGGCAAACAGTGTTTAGCAAATCGGCCACAAGATTACGCAGCTCGTTATGCCTCTGGATGATGAATCCTCCTCGTCTAAACACCATGGCACGATCCGCCGTAAAAGCATCTTCGCAAATACAAGTGGTGGGCGTGTCAGCTATGTGCCAGTCATAGCGGAGATGAACGGCATCCCTGAACTCTCTCTTGTTTAAAGAAAAGTTCATATCCTTTAACGGGGTAACTGTTAGCCAACTAGACGCGCCCTTTTCTGTAGCAAGGACAGCGGCTCTCCTGGTGTTATCAGGGAGCACGCTCTTTACTTCCTCTAACTTTTCTCTAGGATGTTTTTCATTCTCCCTTCGGTTGAACTACTGCATTTTCCGTATGTCATCATCATCCGGAAGCTCAAGTGCCTGAGGCTCTATCTGCTTTACCAGAGGCTGTGTTACCCTGATTGAGGCTTTATACTCCTTAGTCGCGTTTCGGCATGGGTTTGTGGGACCCAGTCCCCCTAGCCTCACCGGAAGTGCTAATAATTCACGCTCAGCGGGTGTACATTGCCTATTGCGCGCTCTGGCGGCTCTAGCAGATCTTCGATGTCAGGCAGTGTTCTGAGATAAAAAGTCCAACAATTTTTCAATTCAATAGTAAAGGCTGCATATGAGGCTTGTGGATTAGCTGCAGCGAATTCTGCAAGCTTCGCCACTTGCTCGACCCAGTCCTCTACCTTCCCTCTCATGTACTCCTCTAGGTAAGGTCTAGAGCCTAGCACGGCGCCCACATGTTTTTGGCCTTGAGTCGATATTTTTATTGCCGTGTCACCGAATACTTCCATCGCTTCGTTCTCCTTTTCTGGTTTGGTGACCAACCAGGCTAGGTCCCATTTAATTTAGCCCGTTCCACCACTTCCTTCGCTCTTCGAGCGAACCAGCGCATGTTGCATCATCAGCGTAGCAGCATTGCTTTGCGTTGCTGGATAGATTGAGATGGGTGATTAAAGGCTGTGGGCTTATAGCATAGAAGATCTTTGCTAAGGGGTCACCCTGTGTAGTGCCCTCTGTAGATTTCAGTTCTTTACCGCCCGTGACAAAGTGGCGCGCAGGAGCGCTATAGGTGTTGGTGGCGTATGTGGCTAAAGTAGGACAAAGAACAGCGACATTATGCAACTGAGGCAGAAGCCCTGTTCAACGAATTAAAAGCGTTCGATGCATCAATTAGTAACACGGCATCTGCATCGTCAGCATTAAATATACCGTGCATGGCGTGAATAGCTGCCTCAGCTCCACTTTTCAGACCCGCGCACACTTGTAGTGGGCCGCTGGCCTCAATAATATCCTGCTTTGTCACCCTTGTTACACACTCGGCGATTATTCTCCTCATCACCTCTCCGACTCACCATTGCCCTTGTCGAGAGGAATCAATTGACTTGCCAAAATTGGTTCGATTGTAGCAGGATCAACAAGCTCTGTACAAAGTCTCTTAGGAAGCATGGCTATGGCGTCGCAAAGACTTGCACTGGACTTCTTAAAGGACTTGCTAGCGAGCACTCTTCTAAAACCATTTGCATCTATCCCCGAAGGACCGCCAGAACCTTTGGTCTTAAGT